CCTGTAATCCCAGCACTCGGGGGACTGAGGCAGGAGGATCGATGCGAGTTCGAGCCCAGCCTGTGCTACAAAGTGAGCTCAAGGCCAGCCTGAACTGCGTAGCGAGACCTTGTCTCAAAAAGACCAAAAAATAATAAAAGAAAATAAAGGTGTGCAGGCAAATGCAGTGACACGAGCAGAACCCACAGCCCCGCAGGGGCTTTCCAGCTCGGGGCCGGGACTGGCCAAGGAGAAGTGTGGAGCGGAGCCGTGAGACTGGGCCGACCATGGCCGGTGGAGAAGCACAGCTTCCTACCGGCTTTGCCGCCACGTCTAGGGTGAGCCCCTCCTGGGGCCCCCACATAACTACAGTTAGCCTCACTTGAAGCCGTTAGCACATTTCACCGAGCTGCCTGCTCCTCCGTCTCTTTCCTGCTGAGTGTAAGTTCTCTGAGGACAGACCTGCCCGGACACCCTCCTACGCTAGCATCCACTCACCCTGTTTACTGCTCCGGCTGCCACCTGCTGACTTTTCTGTGAAATTAGATACGCTGCACCATGTTAGGGCTGGGCTCCGTGGTAGGCCACTTACCTAGCTTACACGAGGTCCTGGGCCCCATCCTCAGAAACAAAAAAAGAAAAACCTTTTAATTGAAAAGACCAGATGCCCAGCAGAAAAGCACGTTTACAAAGTGCTAAGATATGCTGAACATGCAGCCCGTGACTTGAAACATACTTTTGTGGCTAAATCAGTCGGATGACTGGAGCCAAAGTAAACCTTTTAAACACACACGCCATGGAGGGTGAGCACTTTCCAACTACCTGCAAAATTAATCTGGCACCTTAATGAAAATGATGATAAATCCCATACACGGTGCTTCCCCCCCGACAGAGGCCTGGAGGGAGGGTGAACACACACTCACAAATATACGAAATTATTAAGTCGTGATTAATGCCTTCTCAAAAATCTTCTGGGAATGATATTTTTCAGGTTATCAAATCTGACCCTACCGTTATTGAAATGTTAGCAAATTCATCAAGGCTAGTTGTTTTTTTTTTTTTTTTTTTTGTTTTTTTTTTTTGTCTTTTTGGGATAGGGTCTCACTGTGCAGTTCAGGCTGGTCTTGAACTCACTTTGTAGCCCAGGCTGGCTTCAAACTCACAACAATCCTCCTGCCTCAGCCTCCTTAGTGCTGGGATTACATGCGTGTGCCACCACGTATGGCCTGAGGCCAGTTCTTCCTTGCACCAGTTACTGGCTTTAGGGTAGGAGGCAGTGGCTCGTAAGATCTAAGTAGCTCCTGAGAAATAGGTTAAACCCCAGAGAGCAGTTTAAGAAAAGAGTATTCTCCCTAGAAGGCATTAAGATGCTACCTAGGGACATGGGAAGGTATTTGAGTTTTTGTTTTGTTTTATTGGATTTTGTTTTGTTTCTGAGACAGGTCTCCACTATGTAGTTCCAAGGCTGGCCTCGAACTCATGGCAGTCCTCCTGCTTCAGCCTCCTGAGTGCTGCTCTACCCTATTTGATTGTTTTAAAATTATTTACTGTAACCTCCAAGCCTTCCTCCAGGAGCTAAGTCACGTTCTCCCTAGGGCTCTGTGCCCACTTCTGGACGTGTTTGCCGTGTCCAGGCACGCACCTCCCTCCAGTGGGGTCAGACTCTCCAGGAATGACATTAAACCGGGTGCGATGGTGCACACCTACGATCCCAGCACTTAGGAGGCTGAGGCAGGGGGATCACAAGTTGGGCAAATTAGTGACTTAGCAAGACCTAATCTCAAACAAACAAAGAGCAACAACAGCAAAATTAAAGGGCTGGCGATGTGGCTCAGTGCGAAGGGCCTGAATTCAATTCCTAGTACTGCAAGACAAGACAAAAACAAAAACTTTTTTGAAATGGTATTTCACTAAATTGCCCAGGCTGGCCTGGAATTTGCAATCCTCCTGCCTTAGCCTCCCATGTAGCTGAGAAATTATCTGTGCATTATGTTATATGTGTATTTTTTCAGGCTACCCACAAGTTCAAGGCAAATCTGGAATGAGTGTGTGTGTGTGTGTGTGTGTGTGTGTGTGTGTGTGTGTATTGAGACAAGGTCTCGCGACGTAGCTTAGGCTGGCCTCACACTCAAAAGAGCTGGGATTCCAGATGTGCAGTATGGCACCGGCTCAGACTTCACGTCTTAGCGTGAGCCCCAGCTGCGGTGAGAGGGTGCTGGCCAGGAGACCGGCGTGGGCGTGGGGAAGCCTTCGAAGCACCTGGAGGGTTTCCGCTAGCCGCAGTCTCCTGGGACGCTGGGTCTGGAGAGGAGAGGATGGCTCACCGAACCCTCGAGGTGGAATCTGTGATACTTGCTCACGGCCTGGAGGGAGAAGGAAAATCAGAGGAAACTCCTAGACCGGGGGCTCAGGTGGCTGAGTGGACGGGGGTGTCCTCCGGATTGGACAAACGCAGCTTGTGGCCCCACACTTTCTACCGCATCTCTTGCCTAACGGAGGATTTCAAGGGAAACGAGCCGGAGCTGCTCAGGATGGCTGTGGCTGTGCCCGGGCCCCAGTGAACGCCCTGGGCAGAGCGGGCTTCGCTGGCACGCGGACACGATGCCTTCCTCTTGGGACCCAGTCTTCCCAGCAGCCCCTTCCCTCCGCGGTCAGCTCTGGTCTGGCTCCCACCACAGAGGGAGCAAGGAAGGCAGGCCGCACAGCGCGTCCAAGAGCAGCTGTGACCACGCAGCGAGACCCTGTCTCAAAACACAAACCAGGAGCTGGTCCTGGCGCACACCCATGATCCCAGCACTAAGGGAGGCTGAGACAGGAAGAACCAAAGTTCAAGTCCCGTCTGGGCAACTTCGCAAGACCCTGTCTCAAAATATATAACAAAACAGACCGAGGATTTAGCTCAGTGCAGAGGCCCCAAGTTTAATCCTCAATATCTAAAACAAAGGCAGCAAAGACATCCCCGGATTCCTCTCTTTTGGCTCAAAAGTAGGGAATTCACATCTCTTTTCCTTAGGTTATAGAGTGTCACAATGGAACACAATATTTTTTTCCAGGGAAACAAGGGAAGAGATAAAAATAAAATACCAACCAGAGAACACAGAGTACAGAAGAGCAGAAGTGTTAAATAGAAGTCACAGGAAGCTGTTGCTTTGGAACGAGCTCCAGCAGAACCAGGGTGAAAGTCACAACGGAGTCGCAGACTCTAAAGTCCCAAATCACCCCGCGCGTGGAGCAGCAGCTGTCAACCTGACGTTCCGAGAACCTGGGATGGGAGCTAACACCGTGCTTCCCAAACAGGCCGGTTCCACGAGCATCTCGCTGCTGTCCCCCTCACACGGAGGAAGCGCCCTGAAACAGGCCGACGTGAACCATCAGTGATTCTCCTGTCCAGTTCCCCACCTTACACCAGAGACGTAAACCTGGAAATGACCAAGCTACTTTTGCTTTCCATTTCTTCCTGCCCTTCTGTCTATGAAAGCCACTTCTTTTGCTTGGGCCATCATAATCCTTGGTTTACTTCGTGGACCAAAGTGCCCCCCACTTCTACAGTTGAAAACAAAGCTGCCTACGATGGTTCGATTGCTCTGACTTTTCCTTCTGACACGTGTGTTGTGAGTCGTGTGAATCACGTGGGTTCTGATCTGAGCATTAGACCGTTGCAGGTGGAGGTGTCAGTGTGAGCCCAGAGGGTGTTGGGACCTAGACGTGGCCTTGTGGCCTGTGCCGGGGGTTCTAGCACTGGCTGGAGCTTGGGGTCCGCGGGGGGACCGCTGAGTGACCCGAGCAGCAGGCGGCATTTGCGCTGCACCCTGCGGCAGCCCTCGGAGGGGGACAGAGGGGAGAGTGGAGCTGAGCAGGGAGCGGCCCTGACCACGAACGGCACCAGATATGAGGAGGACTTGGACCAGGGCCTGGGAGCAGGAAGAAGGGACAGGAACGGTGGCGCCAGGTAAACCGGGGAAGGTAGGCCCGGGAGAGACTGGTGGGGAGGGAGCTTGTCACAGCTCCGACTTACCTGTGTGGTTGGTAGTGGATGAACCCTGGAAGCAGGCTGAGGGTGACTTTCACTGGGCTTCCCTAGCTGACCTCTGCTGACCTGCTGAGGGCGCAAACCCCACACCAGCAAGGGCCTTCACCCTGCAAGCCAGCGCGACCCACCCGGCCCCTGGGTCCCTGCCTGCCCCACTTGTCAGGATGCTGGTGGCTTCAAGACTGGATTTCACACCTGGGAAATGGCTTTTAGTTCTCATAGCTCCTTGGTGTCTTCCTAGTCATCCAGCACCCAAACTTGATGTAGGTATTCCATGTGGGCTTTTTTCTGCTAGTACTGGGGATTGAACCCAGGGGTATCACACTGAGGTACATCCCCAACCCTTGACCTTTATGTTTTATTTTGAGACAGGGGACTCGCCATGTTGCTAAGTTGGTCAGGCTGGGCTCAAACTTTTGATCCTCCTGCCTCAGCCTCCCAGAGTTCCTCTTGCCCAGCTTCCATATCCCTTCGAAAAGTTTTTGTCTTTTTAACTTTTTGTGGGGCTGGAGCCATGGTGCTGAGGGGAGAGCACAGGGCCCTGAAACTACCTGCTCAGCCTGGAGGAGACGAGAGTATCTCACATCTGTGTTCTCTGGGAGCAGCTCTGCCCCGTTTGTCCACACCGTGGTTTCCAGCAGCAGAACGCGATTGGTGTCTGCTGGAGATCGTTGCTGGTGGCCCCCGCCATGTGAGCTTGGGGAGCAGCTCGACTTCTGAGCGGCGTCTGTGTTGCCAGTGGTGACGAAGGGCCCGCCCTATCCTCGCTGTGAGGAGCCTCAGCGAAGCTGCTTTGTTAGGAAGTGCACTGGAGGGGTAAAATGGCTTGGGCAAACGAGCCATGCAAAGTGATCGAGAAAAGCTGAACTAAAGGAAGCGACTCTGGGCTTCTATTGGCCTGTCTGGGTTTGATTTGATTTGATTTGATTTTTTGTCTTTTGGAGACAGGGTCTCACTATGCAGTTCAGGCTGGCCTTGAGCTCACTTTGTAGTCAGGCTGGTCTCGAACTCACGGGGATCCTCCTGCCTCAGCCTCCCCGGGTGCTGGGATTACAGGCGTGCGCCACCACTCCTGGCTGGATTTTAAAAGCACGACAGTCATCGAAATACTTATATTTCATTTGGCCTTTGGGCGCGGTGTGGAGCTGGCTGAGGCTCTTCCTCTGCATGGTGCGTGGGGCGCTGCACTGGACCGAAGCATGAACTATTTGCACACAGCTTTGGCAAGAAGCTTCGTTAGGGCCGCGGAAAAGGCTGCGCACCTCATCTGACCCTCCCTCTCGAGGGCTGGGGGTGGAGCACAGGGCCCGGGCATGCGAGCTCTGCTGCTGGGCCCCCTGGGCCCCACACATCTCACCCAATCACCTTCGAGTTGGTTAGTACTTAGGACCCTCAGTACTGGCTGACAAACTCCCTCTGTCCTCCAGGTGGGGCAGCGTGTGATTTGAGTGTCCAATTCCACTTTCTCTTGTTTTAGGAGTGGTTTTGGGGAAAGCAAACAGCCTGCAGATAAGATAACTACTGTCCGTAGTGTGAGCCTGCTGTGATTTTTTTTTTTTTTTTTGTACCAGAAATTGAACTCAGGATCTTGTGCTTGCCAGGCAGGTTCCTGTGCCAGTGAGCTATATCCTGAGCCTGGAGTTTTAAATTCCCTTTTATTTGGAAGTATATTCAATCTCGTTTGTGTGCTGGAGGGCAAAAGTTAAGTAGACAGCTATATAGACCTTTTCCAATATTCAGAGTGAAACTGTGATGCGCAGTTCTACTGGCAAGAGATTGGCTTAGTGGGCTACCCTTAAGTTAAATCAATGAACTGCTAATTTAATGTTCAGCAGTTTTTCTTTAACCTAGAGAAACAGCGGTTATACGTGATGGAATTGTGAAATCAAATTCAGATTCTGCCATGGGAAAATTCAGGTGATCTACAGGAATCTCTGACGGGTTTATTCTAGTCACTCCTCACTTTTTGTGTGTTTAATAATCTGGTATGTCTCGATGTCAAGGAGCACTGAAGTGTATTTTAAATCAAGTTTACCCTTGTGCAGTTTTACAAGTGAAAATATGCCACTGTGCATTTATGTTATTGAAGATAGGTTAGTGTCAGAGATGTTAAGAAATTATATGCAAAGCATAGTCACGGCTGAATTTGACCAGAATGAAAATAAGTGTGGTGGTGCACGCCTGTAATCCCAGCACTTGGAAGGCTGAGGCAGGATGATCCTCATGAGTTCGAGGACAGTCTGAGCGATTCAGTGAGTTTAAGACCAGCCTGAACTGCATAGAGAGACCCTGTCTCACAAAACAAAAACGGGCACAAAATGTAAATTATCCACATTCTTGTGTGTGTGTGTGTGTGTGTGTGTGTGTGTGTGTTTATGTCTGTGCGTCTGTGTGGTGTGGTGCTGGGGATTGAAGCCAGAGTCTTTATACTGAACTACATTCCTCTTTCCCTTTATTTTTTATTTTGAGTCAGATCCTCTTTAAGTCTCTAGATTGCCCAGGCTGAGCTCAAATTTGCAGTCCTTGCTGGGCGTAGTGGTGCATGCCTGTAATCCCAGCACCCAGGAGGCTGAGGCAGGCAAATCACTGTGAGTTTGAGGCCAGCCTGGGCTACATAAGCAAGTTCAAGGCCGGCCTGCACTACATAGTGAGACTCTGTCTCCAAAAAACAAAATAAAACAAAACAAAAGCCTTCTGGAGTGTCAGGTATTATACCTTGGTGACGAGATAAGTTCCCAAGTGAACATCATGGGGCTAACCCACA